CGCTTTCTTTCAGAGCATTTTCTTTAGAAAACTTCTAACTCGAAGTTCTTTCTCTGCCCCTTTGAGGTGCATGTAAATCTTTTTAAAGCTCACTAAGCCTCTTGCTGGCTTTATAACCCGGGACCGTCTTTCTCGAGGATCTGGGAGCCATCTTTCCGAAATGCAAACATCAAGGAAACAGCGGCCAGTGTCCCCTGCCCGTGGGTGGTGGGAGCCTAACTCTCCAGCAGCACCGGGCTCCGGGCTGCAAACCTCCTCCTGTCACCAGGATATAAGAAGTGGATGTTTCCTTTGCATAAAGGCAATTAGCTACCACGGGTGGCCACCCAATTCCAGGCGAATTTAGGGTGAACTCTGTGTGACAAATGGTGCTGTCATGTCCTCTTACCCGAGGACAGGCTATGCTTTCCCTGGAGAACATGTGTGCAGTGGGGCTGCCCCTGCTGGACTGTGTAACAGGTGAGATTTCTGTCTACAGTCTTTTAGCAAATTGCCTGTGATGTGCACCACATTCCAGTCTAATGCTTATTCAGTTAAAAATGTGTTTTCTTTCTCTCCTACTTTTGCGGGGAGTTTTTCTGAGTTGGCAGGAGATTTGCTTTTTAATTCTATTTCCCCAAAAGGGGTCTGTTACGCGCTCCTGCTGTGGGTTACTATAGACACTGAAACCTGCCTGTGGTGCAGAGAAAAGGGGACCACAAATGAGGGCAGGAGAAGGCCCCCCCTTGGGGCCCCTGATGGATGCCAATGCTCCTGCCTTAGCACCACATTTTCCTTCCAGGTCACTCTGCATCCCAGGCCGTGGGGTAGCCTCTCGCCAACTGGAGATTTAATGTCTGCCTAAGGAGACTCAGAGGACTGGCGGACAAAGAGGCCGCTTTGATATGGGGAACCTCAGACAGGGCGGTGGAGGCTCGGGCCACAACTCAGGGCAAGGACAGCAGGTGGGACTTGGGCTCATTCACAAAACCCCTACACAACACAACTGAGGCCCCTTAAGCCAAATCAAATCAGTCCTACTTGATCCATTCTGTCTTAAGAGGTATTACTAACTCAAAATCGCCTAAGGTGGCAGAAGGGCTTCAATTCTTGGTGACCAGTTCACAGGGAGTCACTGAGCTGCACCAGAGCTCGTGGTCCGAGAAAGAACAGAAGTGGAAATGGAAGGAAAGGACCCTCATGGGCCCGAGGGGGGAAGGAAGAAAGGAGAGGGCAGGGGACAGGAGCAGGGGGCAGGGGCTATGTCTTGGGGGCCCATCTCCACCTGTGTGCTCAGGTGGGATGTGTCTGGAAAACAGGCCAACAGGTGTCCTCAGACAAACCCCTGAGACAAGCTGAACGGCAGAAGGTCCCTGCATGCGGCAGCGTCTTTCCAGGCCGGCCAGGCCCCCGCACACCCCACCCTGATGCACCGCACTGCACACCTCTTCTCCCCCCACCAGACACATCACTCAGCTGACTGGAGACAGAGATGCCCGGGGACGCGGCGAGCAGGCCGCCCAGCAGAAGACCCTGGCCAGAAAACAGGAGGCCACGGGGGCCGATCCCCATCCACCAGTGCCCACACCGAGTCCCTAAGGGCCACACCCAGCTCCCCGACCCCAATCTCTGATGACCTTTCCCCTCCCTGCCCAGCAGGTCCCGTGGAGGGTGGGACACACGCAGGGGGTGGGTCTCAGGACAGGGCCCCAGTCACCTCCTCCTTCCCAGCCCCTGGCTCTGGGTCAGGCCGCAGTTGGGATGAGAGCCCCTTGACGGGGAGGCTTTGCGGGACAGCTGCCATACAACTGCCGCGTCACACAAGGCGGGACTGTGGCCTGGGGCAGCTGCTGAGGTCTGGGGGCAGGGAAGGTAACAAAGGGGTTCGATCTTAGCATAAATTTGGGGGGAAGGCAGACAGCAGCTGGGGGTGTACAAAGGCCACGGGCCGGGAGAGGCGGTGCAGGGACACGTCTGGGTCACTCCTCACCCTCCAGATCTCAGGGCCCTGGACCTTTTCCACCAGCCAAGTACATCTCTCTTCACAGACTCAGGCCCCACATGGGGAAGCAGGAGATGGCACCTCATGTGTCCTCTGTCACCAGTGGAGTGGGGACCGGCCACGTGCCCTCCACCAGTAGCTCAGGCTTTGAGGGATGCATCTCCCCAACTCCAGCCAAAGGCCCAGCTCACAGGCCCTGCTCGACTAATAGGAGCCCCACCCAGGGCGACACCATCTGCCACCCTTCACCCATGTGCACAGTCCCTCCCCACAGGAAACCGCGCACAGGAGGCAGTCTTCCTAAGGTACGCTGCCCATCAAGCTGACCGCCCTCACACCAGTAGGTCAAGTCCCCCGGGGAGCAGCCCAGGCCAGTGTTTGGAAGGGGATGGGCGAGGGCCCGCAGGCTCCAGCTAGCCCTCACCCTGAGGGTGTGCTCTCGGAGTCCTCCGGGGGGATGGAGACTCTGTCTGTCCTTCCCTCATTCACTGAGAGGGCGGGGGCTTCCCTGGTCACCTCGGTATTGACCTGGCTCTGGAAAGAAAAGGGGGTGACAGCCAAGACTCGGTAGGGACAGGGAGACCGACTGTGTACCAGGCACTCAGCAAGCTCCGCCCACTTCATCCTAAGGAGCCACGGCTCTGAGACGTTAAGCGGTTTGCTCAAGGTCACACAGCTAATAAGTGCTGGAGCCAGGACCAGCGAACTGGGGTGGGCCTGCCCCAGCCAGAGGCCCTGCTCCTGACCATGCTGCCTCCAAGAGAAGGTGCAGAGTGTACCAAACCTTAAGCCACCAGGGCCTCATTTTCAGGAGTCTGGCCTCTAGACCCACATGTTGGCTATTTAAGTGTGTATAAATTAAGTTTAAAATTCAGTTTCTCATCCACACTGGCCACGTTTCAAGTGTTCAACAGTCACACGTGGCTAGAGCCACCATAACATCCAGCAGAAAAGAAGATTTCCAGGTTCACGAAGTTCTGCTGGGCGACACTGCACTAGATATAAAGCTCCAGAATGGCGGTGGCCCTGCCTGCCGGGGCCTGGGATGCAGAAGGTGCTCAGTTTATACTGGATGAATGAATACATGAATGAACGAATGAAAGAAATGGGAAGACTGAAGACGGGGCCCCTCTGGCCCCAATGCTTCATCACTAACAACAAATACCTCAGGACAGGTTAATGATGTCCCCAGCCTGGGAAATGGATTTCAGTTAATATCAGTGGATGTTTCATTTAAAATATACAATCATAGGTGGTTGCCAAGGGGGAGGGGGTTGGGGGAGGGATGGAGTGGGAGGTCAGGGTTAGCAGATGTCAGCTTTTATA